CATTTTTAGCTTGCCTTTTGCCTTTGTTACCAGTCAATAGGTGTCTAATGTGTCTTCACTTTAGAATCAACTGTTTTATTCTGTTAGCAAAATATCACATGGACTACTGGAGGGATTTTAATTTGAGCATTCCAAAATGCAAATTATCAAAAGGCAAAAGCTGATTAAGTCAGCATATAAATATTCCTCCTGAGTTGTTCCTCTCTGTTTTTGTCAGTGTGCTGCTCTAAAAAAAAAAAAAACACAAGCAAACTGACCCTTACTAAATAGAAGTAGGCTTTACCTTAAATACATGTAAATATTTTTCCTGAGTGTTTAACCTGTTTTATCAGTGCGCTGCTCTAATAAATAAAAACAAAAATAGAAGCAAACCGAGTCTGTGTGAGCAGCTTCAGGACCTAAAAATAAAGTATTTTTCTCCTCTCAGTGTTGTCTGTGATGCAGGTCGCAGGAAGCAACAAAGTTGCCTCCGTGACGTCAGAGGTGGGGATTCCCCGGGTCCTGAAGCCCGACTCATCACATGGACAACGCAGACACAGGTTTGAAGAAAAGCAGTAAATCTTAGCAGAATAATTATTTTATTTTGTGTTTTTGTTTTATTTGTACACGATTAATATTAAAAATGACTTAAAATAAGTTTTAAAGATATCCGGCTTAAAAAAGTATTTCAAAAGACTTCAGTGTCCAAACTATAACTTCCAAACTAATTTTACAAAATGACTAAAACTCATATTAACTTTGTGTCTTATAAACATAACTTTAAATGTCACGTTCTGCTACTATGTGACATTTTAAAAAGAAAAAAAAAAAAAAACCTTCCACAGTCATTGTAGTGGTTTTGTCCCACGCCTCCGTCAGGGAAGCGGCCGGGCGCTAGGACCCGGGGCCGCCCTCCTCCATGCAGCAGCAGGAGTCTGCCGCTCCAAGAGGAGGACCAGAAATCTGCAGCTCTCCCAGAATGAAGAGATCAAAAATGATGCTGCTGCTGCCTCCAAACAGGGATTAAACAATCCGCCGCCAGTCTGGGGTAAATCCTTCGCGTCGTCTCTCTTCTGTCTTTATGTGCAGATATTTTCCAAACGGCTCGTGCAGACATCCGGGAAGGTTAGGGGGTTTTTATTCTGCATTTGCTGCAGCAGAGCGAGCCGCTGACAGATGCTCGCAGTGACTTTCTGTGAGAACTGCAGCGGATGCAGCGCAGGCCTTTGATGCGATCCGTTGTTTTTGTTTCTCACCCTCTGCCGCTCTAGTCTGGATCTGGTTCTGGGCGCCTCCTCCCCTTCGTCCTCCTCTTCCTCTTCCTCCGGTGCCGGGTGGGTGAAACGCGGATTTAGGGGGTGGGGGTGGTGGGGGGTGAAACGGGAAGACATGCCGTCGCTGAGCATCCACTGACTTGCCCATCATGATGAAGACCGAATCCACATCATCATCGTCCGCCTCCAAGAGCACCACGCTCCGGAGCCCATCCCCGCACAGGAACGCCTACGAGGCGGGGATGCAGGCCCTGAAGCCCGTCAAAGACWGCGCGGCCAACGGGGACGTGCAGGAGGGTCCCCGGGGGCGCAGGTACGGCTCCAACGTGCACCGCATCAAGAACATGTTCCAGCAGATGCAGACCCCCGCCGCGGGCGACGCGGAGGGAGGGGAGGACGCCGGCGCGAAGGGCGCGGAGAGATCCGTGCGCCTGTCCCTGCCCAGAGCCGGCAGCCTGAACGAGAACGTGGACCACAGCGCGCTCCTGAAGCTCGGCTCCACCGTGTCCGAGCGCGTCAGCAAGTTCGACCCCAAGTCCGAGAACGGGCACCAGCGGGCCTCCTCGCCCAGCTACTCCAAGCTGCAGGAGACCCGCCGCATCTTCGAGCAGCAGCAGCAGCAGGAGAAGCTGGCCACCACCAGGGTCCTCCTGAAGACCGAGAAGGTCCCGGGCTTCCAGGATGGCAGGCTGGACATGGTGTCCCGCTTCAACGGCAGCACTGAGTCCCTGGACAGCCTGGACACCAGTGAAGCSGTGTCCCCCACGGTCAGCCAGCTCAGCGCCGTGTTCGAGAGGGCCGCCGAGCTCCGCAACAACCTCCATCGCCTCTCCTCGACACCTCCTCTCCCSTCCAGGGGGGTCAGCACCAAGGTGGGGGTGTTGAACTCAAAGATCATCACCAAGAGGGTCAGCGCTTTCGCGTCGAGCAACCAAGAGGAGGAGATGAGCAATCAGAAGGGCCAGGAGACGCCTCCGAGGGGCCACAGGGGACGGGTGAACCCCCCATCTGAGGGCATCAATGGGGGTCAGGGTGTTGACCCGAACGCCGGACTCTCAGGTCACGAAGACGAGCCGAACGACCACAGAAGAAAAACTGTCTCGGACGCTGGCGTTGAGGCCAAAACAGGAGCGAGCGCTGAGGAGCAYTCGGGGGCCAAGGAGCCCAGCAGTTCAACAGAGAACCTGGAGGACAGAGAACCTGCTYCCGAGWCCCGAAGCTCTCCAAAAACCGAGGAGARGCTCAGGCAGGAGGGAGATGCTGCTGAGGAGGAGGAGGAGGACAGGACTCTGGACACGTCTGTGGACATCAGCACCTACAGCGCGGCGGGGGACGACTACGGAGACAACCAGAAGCTGGAGGAGGACTACGAGGAGCAGTACGAGCCCGAGTCCAGCTGCGTGGAGATTCCTGGGCTGGCTGTGGAAGAGGAGCCCCCTCCTGCGAGGAAGATCCGCTTCAGCACAGAGCCCATCAAGGTGAGGGGACAGGCACAACACCCAGGGGTGGATCTAAGGGCCGGTCCTGGCAAATTCGGCGCACCGAGGCAAGATTTCAGGTGGTTCCTCTCGTGTGATTCTCTAAATCGCACTGCCAAATTTATACACAACACACCAAATTAAAAGGTTTTGTCCTGTTTTAGTTTTTATCTTTAGAAACCAGGTTGTCCAATTAAAATAATTAGCAGTATAATTCATTTGACACAGAATACCAGAAGTCTTGGCAGCACGACGGCTCACAGCGAGAAGGTCCTGGGTTCGATCCCCGGTTCGGACCTGGGGTCTTTCTGTGTGGAGTTTGCACGTTCTCCTCGGTACTCCGGTTTCCCACACCCCACAAAAACCTGTACAACAGGTTGCCTTCAGGCCCAGGCCTCCCTTGAAAAAGAGATCTGAGATCTCAACGGGACTTTCCTGGTTAAGTAACGGTGAATAAATAAATAAAATAAAATAAATACCTGTCATGTTAACCAGCAGCTGTGGAATGAAGCAGTTCTAGGGGGGGTCCAGGGGCATACTACCCAGGAAAATTTCGTAAAAGATCGACTCAAAACTGCATTTTGCAGCCATTTGAAGAGCAATGCACTAAAATTCTTGGGATTAATAAAACAATGAAGGAATGAAGGTAGAACACTGAAAACCAGACGTTACCTGAGATCAGAACTGAAACTTTCATCATCCTTATTTTGTTTTCTCTTTACACACGGACCAGTAGTTATTCTTGACTGCATCGTATGATACTTTTATCACGAAACATCCGCTACACCATATAACACCTCATGTAGGAACCAGTGTTGTATAAAGTACCACAAAGTGATACTTGAGTAAAAGTACAAGTATCTTGGCYTATTGATTTAAAATGAGCAGTTAGATTTTCTGTAAGGACATTTGTTAGGAGGTGACCTCCCCAACAAAATGCAGAAATGACTATATCGTATTAAAATAATTAATTTATGTTAAATTTAGGATGTACTAGTCCAGCTGTTTCAGTTTATTTACTTATATCAAGGCGGCACAAACCTTTTCTCCAAAATGAAAATCTATTTGAGGGCTGCGGTCAAATGCAATAATATAATTCATGAAATACAAATACTTCTTAAGTACAGTCCTTTTATTTTAATGATTATGTCTGCTGGAGTGAGATATGATTTGTTTGTGTGCAAAGTAATACGGTATCAGAATTTTATATATTTATACTTCTCAATAAACCACAATTAAATTCACTGTCTAGGAGGCACAGTTTACATGGATAGTTTTTATTTTTTATAATATCAAGCTGGAATGAAAACAAGCAAAAATGAAATAAAAGTAACGACTTTCTACTTGTTTCCTTTTTTAAAAATGTAAGAAGTAGAAAGTACAGATAACTGTGTGAAAATATAAGAAGTAGAAGTAAAACGTAGGCTGAAAAATAATTACTCAAGTAAASTACAGATACCCAAAAATTCTACTTAAGTACAGTAACAAAGTATTTGTACTTAGTTACTTTACAGTTCTGGTAGGAACAAAGCAGCTGAGAAACCCACAGAACAAATTACCTTCATAAACCTGAGGAACCAGTGAGTATTCAGCTATGCTCTGATTAAAAAGTAAAAAAATAAAACTTTCTGTCTCTTGTTTGTGGCACTCACTTAATATTTGCCTGTACTGGCTAAAATTAACTAATGATTCATTTCAAATGACTGAATGTTGGCTCTTATTTGGAGTTTTACATTTAGTTGCCTTTTTACGGTTCCTCCACTGATATTCTGAGTTCCAACACTTGGATTTGTTGAGGAATGAAGTGTTTTGGCTGTGTGAGAAACACAGAGGAAGTGAGGAAGGAAAAAAAAAAAGAAAAAAGAGGGACTGTGATCTCTTTCTGGAGCAGCGGGATGAGAAAATCGGACAGACGAGGAGGAGGAGGAGGAGCTGATTCAAAGCGTCTCTCTGTGTTTGGTGGTGGTGTAATGATCCGGAGAGGAGCATCAGCCTTAACGCTCCGCCTCGGGCTGCGAGACGGGCCGAGGCTCTGCCAGCCGACGGTGAACGTCACACGCATTCCCTCTCACGGAGCCATCGTTTCATCTCGGTGACCGGGCTCTCCTGCCCCTCATCGGACCCACTCAAGTCACAGGCTGCTGTTATTTTCTCATGGCTGGACATCCTCCAGTTGCGCCAAGTTTACTCTGACTTCAGATTAGAGCTGCACGATACAGTGGGTAAAATAAGTATTGAACACGTCACCATTTTTCTCAGTAAATA